ACGACATAGATCACAATAATATCAAGAACACAGATTTTGGCTCAACAATAACATATCATCATCACTTTAGGTCTCACCAAGTGGATATAACAAAAAAGTATCTCAGAGATAATAAACTGTAGATCGACACAATTAGGATTGTAGAGCTTGTTGCAACGATTCTTCACATAAAATTTGGATCAAAACTAACAATGTTTAACCGCTTGAACGTCTACCAAATCGTCAAATTCAAATCTACCTATGGGATGAAATTCAAATCTACCTATGGGATGGACCCAACACCACGTACGCCACAACAAAATTATTTATAAATCAACAAAAGTGATGATTCAAATTCTATCCAAACTCACAAATATATTCTTAAAAGGCCGTTTATAATTAGAAGATTATTTCAAAAGAATAGATATCATGATCCAAAACTCATAACTGTCCACTAGATCTTAATGTGCACAAGGCTGTCACCTACTTGAGTGAGCTGACACAAATTGATCCATTGTCGACATGTTTGGGTATGCTTTTCCACATGTTTTAGCTATATGGTTTTGACTCGTATGGATCAGTTTCAGCTTGAATTCAATGTTTTCTTATATCACTCAGTCAGGTTCACCATTTACCAAAAATCTTCTCTAGCTTATCCATCCAATACTTGTCTCCATGGCTTTCATTTTCAAATCACATTATCAATCTTGGGTAAAACATGCAGTGAGACCATTTTAGCTTGGTTATGCTGTATCCTACTTTAGGTAACTTTAGGTAAGTGACAAATATTAGATTTGATCTCAGATTTTGCTATCAACAGTCAAGATATTTACCAACTAAGCTAGTCGATAACTTCGTTGTAGCATATAATCATGTTTATAACTTCTTATTACAACCAGACCTTAATCCTTTGATAAGAGATATTGTTGCGGCAAATCAACAAGCATTTTACAGGCAAAAACATTGAAGATTACTACATAGAGTGGTTACAAGATCTTGAGAGACATAAATTCACCTTGTCACAGATTTAACTGGAATTGTCTAAGTCGTGAGGCACCCTTACGTTATTCGTCCGCAAAGGGTCAAGCTAATTGCGACCTTGCTTAGGTCCCAAAATACTTGTAAAAGAACAAATTGATTAGTTTGAAAATGAACGACGAACAACTTCCGACTTTTCGTAAAGAGGACAACTTTACAAACAATTCAGCAAATATTTGATGTCAAAGAGAGAAAAGAAAGAAAAGAGAAAACAAGGACTTTAGAAGACAAACGAACAATCACAAGTCTATAAATAATTACTCACCAGGTGTCAGACACGTTGGCAAATTTCTATAAGCTTAATGTGCGTGCTTATGAATCCGATCGACACCCAACACTACCCCAAACCCCCATCTAACCTTATGTCACATGGGGGAGTTATGAGGTGTTGAGATGGTTGACATTTTTATCCGCACCATAACTTGTAAAAAATAAGACATAACACGTAAAAACTATACCATTTTATGATAGTTTTGCTCGTCCCGGTGAGCGATCGTTTTACAACCTTGCAAATTATTACTGTTTACAGTTTTCAAGCAAAAACACACAAAAATTATATAAAATATATTGTCTAAGTATATATACAAGTAAATAAAAACAACGAACAGTTCGTAGACGAAGGTGTCATGGATGCATAACGATCGTCCATGACAACCTGGTATTTTGAGGAAAAATGCTCGATTTAAATGGGCTCGTCTTCCAATTCCGATCGGTTTTGGTTCTACGGATTATAAATATCGTTTTGTACCAGTTTCTTTGCATGACTTACCCGCAGGGACAGCAGGTGACTGGAGAGGCAAGGACGGGACCCGTTCCAATCGCCTGCTCCATTCCTCCCTCTTCAGCATTCTATCAAACACCATCAAGGCTACTCGTCAACATTCTTTATACTAAACAAGCTTGAGGTCAAGAAGAAAAAAGAAAACTTACCTCTTGGTTATGGTAGGATGGTGTCATTGCACACAACGGAATAGTTCTCGACGCTGGCAGATTGGAGCTATGAGCAGCGCTTGAAGCAGAGGGGGAAAGAGAGATGAACGAAAAAGTAGATCGTTTGGGAATGGCGTGTCGTGTGTTTTAGGTAACCTGGACTCGAGCGGGCCAGTGGTAGACGGACCAAAGTGATGGAGTACCGTTCTTAAATAGAGCTCAGTACAAACAGTTATGAACATTAAGGACATATTTCAGTTTGAGGGTAAAGGATATATTTAGACTTTTTTTAATATATATTTTCATAATTTTCATAAAGAATGCTATTAGAGAATTCTAGAAACGAAGACACTTGACGAAAAAAAATCAAAAAGAGAGATTTTTTTTTTCAAATATTTGTCTTGCCAAATTAGGAACAACAAAGTTTTCAATGAAAAAATGTCTTTAATCAAATATTTGAATATTAAATCATCTTCCAACCAAATAAATTCTGCTTTTGTTTTGGATTCAATATATATGTGATGGGATATATTTTGATATCACCCCCGTGATAACAGTTAACAGCTACATCAATGTCAACACGGAGCCTCAGGATTGATATGGTGTATTATGTCGATGTGACCCCTCGAACTCGGATGGGATGATTACCTGTTCTTGTGCTATTCGAGGCCGTAAGAGACAACGTCGCATAGCATAAAGCCACTTCGCAAAGCTCGAAATGACGCTGCAAGGTGCGGCTCTGTGCAGGTCGGTCGACGCTCACACAAGAGGTACAAGCCGGTCGCTCGAGAAATCAACCGTCATTAACAGATCATGTATGATCGACCCTCATTCACAAGTATAAAAGTAGATCAGGAGGAGGATCTCAAACACTTCAACTCCACTTAAGGCTACTCAGTATTAACTTATGCTTCAGAGAAGTCAAGTTGGGAAATCCCCCTACAACTTCCACCTATATGCAGGAACTTAACGAGGGAGGAAGAGCAATTTTTTGTTCTATCTTGAATCAATTCCGGAGGCAAAGCCCAGATCAAACTTAATGCTGATCACCTTTGTTCAATCGTGAAAGAGATTCTTTAAAACACATCCCACCTATTTTCATGAGCAAGATGAGTAAGATAAAACACAACAACCATAAGCATTGAGGGGGATATTAGGGATCCCCAGATCATGCCTGAAAATATCATTCAACATTTGCAATAGCAGCTCCGAAACAAATTGTCAATCAGTTGAGGCACCTATTAGCCTCGAAATAAACTTGAAAATGTTCATATACAACAAAAATGAATTAGGTAAGAACACAGAATACTACATGTAAGGACAATTGTTCTATTTCTAGAACAGCCAAATAAATAATAGTTGTCATGCTTAGATCATATAGTGATGCCATTGGTCAATCGAATAATAAAAGCAGTGACAAATTAGCTGTCAGCTTCTAAAGATTACTTTAAGGAGTTCAAGAAAGACACAATATTGGGAGGAAGAGTAGGCAAAGCCTGGCTTATCCTTCCACAGAGGTCAGTGGAAGAGCTTGGCTCATCTACTAGAATCTTCTTATCCATGATGATGGGACCCAACACATCTTTTGCTTCTCCAATATTCTTCTTCTGCCAACTCAACTTGGTTTTCCAAGAAGAATATCTCTGTCGCCAAATGATTCTTCACCTCTCATTCAGTCTCATTGACAACAACATGTTGATTTGACATTACATTTTTAACATGCATATAATTACTTAACTAATTAATTTGATGATGATATATTATGAAAACTCAATTTTTTATCCTATAATTTTTTTTAAAATAATATCATCACTTACTCTCACAAAAAAAATATTTATTTGAATTTAAATATTACTATATATTTATTAAATCATTTTGGATATAAATAGTAAGATAGGTTTGTCAAACATGATTTAAATGGCAGAAGAATATAATGAGGTGCATCAAAATGCCACGTGGGCAATGTGGGCCAACCTCCCACCTACTTACGTTGATCGGATAATATATTGAAATCAATATCAAATTGAGATCTTAAACCTTAAATTCATATATTATATATTATGAAAAATATAATAATGTTTTAAGCGATTAAGTTAAAACGTTATAAAAAATGGTATTGGACGGGATCACCCGTGAAAGTGTCCAGGGTGACTTGGCCTCGACCTGCAGGCCCGACGTGGCGCGGTTCGGAAGTCCACCGAAGGGGGGAAACCCGAATCCACCGATTAAACGCACCCGGTTTTGAGCACCACGTTTCCGGGGTCCCACGCCATGGCATTTTCGTGGTTTCCTTCCTTTTCCAGGGTCCAATTCTCTCCATTAGATAGAGTATAGAGCCGTGACAGAGACGATTGCGTAGCATTGCCAAGTTCCAGAAAATTCTGTATCTATTCCGAGCAAATTGAGCGCATTATTTTCTATTATTGAGAACATTTATTTGTATTTAAAATAGAAAAACATTATATTCCATTATCCGACTCACCCACTCTATCGGTGGCGGCCGCTCCACCTTACGGCGGACCCCACCCGTGGCTAAATCACTCAACGAGAGTATTTCTCCCACCTTTTGGCAGTCACCCGCTTGATTACTTGCATTATGATTGGTTTCTGTGGAGGCCAGATGCGGGTCCCGGTTTCAGTATCCAATAACAACGCAGGTGGTGAAGACAGAGGCTCAGTCGGTTACGTATCTCTGTATTGTGGTCAACCAACATAAAATAACGAAGAGGGTGGCGCACTAAAATATCTGCTCTCAGTGGATAAGGACACGGCACCGTTTCCTTCCGTTCACCCATAAACCCGCACCCGCCGGGGGGCCGGCCACAACAACCATGCGGGCCCCACGTCTGTCGACCATTTGCGGGAGCGCCTCGAGTCTACCCATTACGCTGAATTTATCGCCTTTGCCCGAATCCGGAAGCGCCCACGGGCGTCCGTCCCCGTCCACGTGGCGCTTGTCCGTCGTCGTCCCCTCCCTTTACCCCCTCCGCCCTCTCTCTCTCTCTCTCTCTCTCTCGTCTGTTCTAAGCAACCTACGGATCAACGCTTGCAGAGTGATCAGAGGAGGCAACTTTCCATTTTATCTTCTTACGGCTTCCAAAGAGAAGAGAAAAGGGGGGATAGAGAGGAGGAGGAGGATGAGGAAAAGAGAAGAAGAATAAGAAGAAGAAGAGGAGGAGGTTTAGGATTTGGGGTTTTAGAGGAGGAACTTTTAGGGTTTCGATTCCTTTGGATGATTGGAAGGAGGAGATGTTGTCCGGTGGTTCCATGCGGAAATCATTCAAGGACTCACTGAAGGTTCTTGAAGCTGACATACAGCACGCAAACACTTTGTATGTGCTGCTACTCTCTTCTTTCTCTTAGTTCGTTTGATAGGGTACTGGGGATTTAATTTCTTAATCAGCGTTTGGTTGTGCTGTGCTTGAATTGGGTTTCTTATAGACTATTGGATTTTAGATTAATCTGTGGGCTTGCGATGTTCCTGATGATGGTCTGAGAATCAGAAAAAGGATAAATTTTCTATTAGGTACATTTAATTGACTTTAAGAGCTTGCCAAAATTTCTTGTCTTTTCTTTTTATCATGGTTTAGCGATTGGTAAATGAAGAACTTAAGAGGGTTTAGTGTTACAGATAGTCTTTTGTGGTGTGATTTCCTGAGGGGACCTTTTTATGCTTGTAGTTTATGCAAATTTGGCTTTTGGGGTTATGCAATTGCTATCTTAAATAAGAAAAGCAGAGTGGAAAGGGTTACTGTTTTTTGTTGTAATTGTATGATCGAGACTTAAATGTGGCCTAGTAAACGGGAAAAGCAGATTGATTTTATCAGTTCATCTTCTTCATACTTTATCGAGAAGAAGATTTAAGAGGCTACTATTGTTTAAGCTACTTTTTCGCTATCATGTTATGTTCCTCCTCTCATATCTGTCGATGCTTCTCGATTGGAATAACTATTTTCTAGTTAAGTAGGATGAAGCAGGTCTGTTGTGGTTTTTGTTATTTTGATGCATTCCGAATCCTTCATCATGATTTGCAGGGCTTCGGATTTCCCTACAGACTATGATGGTGCATGCCTTCAAATGCGAATGTCATACAGTTCAGCTGCCCATTTGTTTCTTTTTCTTGTGCAGTGGACAGATTGTAGCCTTGCTGGGGCACTTGGGCTCCTCAGAATTATGATATATAAGGTATCTAAATGTTTTGTAAATGCTGTAGACGTACCACTAGGATTTCTTTTGTTCATTAGAGAACTCTGAGTTGTGCAGGTTCACATTGATGGATCAACGACCATGTCAACTCATGAAAGAAAAGCTAGCATTAAAGAGTTCTATGGTAGGTTCATTGCACTCAAGTTTGACAATTGCTTTTCTCTCATCGGTGATTGTTAATTTTTTTTTTCTCCCTTTTGGTACTCATCTGCAGCTGTTATTTTCCCCTCCTTGCTTCAACTACAAAAAGGTATATCTGATATGGAAGACAAAAAACAAAAGGCAGTATGCTTGGAGAGATACAGACGAAGAGATGACAATGAACGGAAGCAGTTCTCTGAAATAGATGCTGAAAGAGAAGAGGAATGTGGGATTTGCATGGAGATGAACAGCAAAATTGTATTGCCCAATTGCAGCCACGTGATGTGTCTGAAATGCTACAGAGAATGGTACAAATCTTTTGTATTCAGAATTTTAATAGTTTTTTTGCTGCAAGCTTATCTTTTGTTGTGGTGTCTATGGTTCTATCAATAAACGCCTTTTCTATTTCACAAATGTTGGTAGATAACTCAACTTGAGCCTGCAAAACTAAGCAATAATGTGAAGCCTTTAAATTGCCTCTAGGATGTTTGTGAACTTAACTTTGTGCGACGTAATTGATGGTAAATGCAAAAAAGAAAAAAACACATGCCTTAAGTGTTCTGGTTGAAACTGTAAGAAAAGAAGAAAAAAATATTAGGTAATTTTCCAGGGAGGATCTAATCTTCGATTGCTTGGCAGTAAGAAAAGGGTTTCAAATGCTTCCTCTGCTAAGGTTAGTGGCTTTTTAAGAAAATAATCAGTTGTGCAGCATAGTGACTAGTCAATGTCCTAGTGTAATGTAAAAGAATCACATTGCAAGGTCAGCTGTTGAATCAAATTGAGGAATTATGGATAAGTAACCTGACTATTTCTTGTTTAGTGGACATGCCATTGAAACACTTCATGTATAACTCAATTGAGAAGGAGCTCAATCAGAAAATTGTAACACCAAATGTATGATCTACTCGTTAAGCAGCTTAACTTTGTAAATTAAGATTCAGATTTAAGCAGGATCAGGTATTAATGTGGCATCGTGTTAGACAGATTCATAAAGTATCTATCTTACTAGAACATGATAAGAGGATGTGTCATTTGTTTGGTTGAATGAATGAAATGGGAAGTAGTGCTTCTGGAGGTTTTACATGGTCACTTCATATGCCTGCAACTAGTCTTGTTACATTCACAGTATTGCTTGGCATGATAAGGTCTGGGTGAACAGTTAAAGAGTGTGACCTCTAATGCATGTTTTTGGGATTCAAGGTAAAGAAGGTGCTGTCGAAGAGCTATTTAACTTATTCAATTTAACTTCACTTAAGTAAAAATAAAGAGACAATAGTAGTTCAAGCATGAGGTTTAAAGGTTTGAAGCGGTGTCAGTAGCAATTGGTCCTCCTTGTGAACTAATTACAGTGACGATGAATGTTATACCAGTTTATTCACTTGTATGAACACCTCTTATATCTCACAAGTGCACTTCCTATCATTGAGCTTAAACGTGGACCTTGAGGTTTTTCTGCTGTCTTAGTTCTCAATTCTGAGGTCACATGATGACTTAAAGAAATGATTTGTCATTGCAGGAACTCAAGATCACAGTCATGTCCCTTCTGTCGTGATAGCCTCAAGAGAGTAGACTCTGGCGATTTATGGGTATACGTGGATCACAGAGATGTAGTTGACATGGCAATGCTGATGCGCGACAGCATCAGACGCCTAATCATGTACATAAAAAAGTTGCCAGTGGTCGTTCCGGAGTCCGTCATCGATGCTTATGATTCTCATGTTAGGTGACGTGGAAAAGCATCTGGTCAACTTCCACGGATTCCTTAACGCTGCCAGCGGTTTGCTCAATTAGCTTAATTAATTTGTGCTTTGGATATCATTCTGATTCATGTTTGGAAGCTGCTGCTAATTTTTAAGCGGCCTATGGACTTCAGAAGCTATGTTGGGAGACATCCATCGAGCAACTTCAGCACTATGTAAATGTCTGTACAGTTAGTCAACTTGAAAGTTATGAACCATTTCAGTGTCAGCATAGTAAGCACTAACTGGTGCCAATGCCAGTGCTTAAGCTATTTCTAGCTATTGTTGTATGTGGGTGCATCGCATTGTGGATGGTAATTCTTCTCGGTTAAAAGAGAACATTCCGGTCTCGGATAAATGGTCATCTGTAATGCTGTTGTGCCGCATTTGCTGTGACAGTAAACCATGGACATCATCCTCTGCGCTACATATTGAAGTGGTATGTTGCAGCTGTTGAAGTGAGTTCTGCGAGGTTATTTTTCCTGCCTTCATTGTGGCTTGCAGTATTTTCTCCTGAATGGATCGTTCTAGATGGTTTCGGTTGTCTTGTATGATCAAGGAACCTGTCGTTTACTGGTATTACATGGTAAATTGGTGGTGAGGAAGATGAAGGCGCAGCTGGAAATTGAAAGCTGCATGTTTAAACTCAGCATTCAAACAACTCTCATGTCAAGGTGGTGGTCATTGTGGATCTGTAGCAGTGCTGAGACATGAGAAGCTGGGTGTGGTGGAGGTGCCGGTCAGGTGTTCGACGCATTGTTGAAGTGGGCATTGTCGATATCTGTTCTTTCAACCAGCAGCTATATCTGAAGGCAAGAAGCCACTTGGACGATGCGTAGAACACCAGTTTGTCTTCTTTGAACTCTGTCTTCAGGCTAAAGTATAACGATTCTGATAATAGTAATAAGAGTTATAATGACGTTAATAATTACAACATTGATATTAAAATAGGAGCTTTATGGCAACCCACAACTACGTTTCGGCTGCCCTTTTCTTGTAGTGTCCGCCTCTTTTCTCTGACTCGAGGCTTTCTTTTTGGCTTCTCTTCCGATTGCTCCTTACACGTCACGAACCGAAGCACGAGACGAAACCCGGCGTCGTGAGATCCGGGAGCGGGAGGCTCAGATGGCGACGGAGGATGACTCCCAGAGCATGGTGTCGACCTACGGGAAGCTGGAAGGGGTGGCGATGTGGGTAGGAGCGAGCGTGGTATCCGCCTTCTTCGCCTCCCTTGAGCGCTGCTCCTGCATCAACCTCAGCACCACCGAGGACGACGGCGACGACCTCGAGGAGGCCAACGACCGCCCGCTCATGCTCACAAAGCCCGTCCTCCACGACGAGGAGAATCCCAAACCTTCCTCCCTCTGATCCAGTCGACTCCCTCGTCATCACCGTGGAACCCTAAATCCTTGAAATCGTTCGGTTCGTGGCATCGTCGATCTCGATATGTTTCTTGTTTCTCTCTCGTGTCGTGGTATTTCCTCTTTTTAACTCTTCATGTGTTGATCCATGCGTTTCTTTCCTACCTGTGTAGATCTGAGTTTGCCTTAGAAACCTGATCTTTGGAAGTGACAATCGTGAAAATATTGTGTTTCCTTGTCGTGATACGGTGCCTCTATGCTGTATTGCTCATCTTGTCATGGCCAGGTTTTGTTTTCTTGTGATTCTTGTTGCATATGCACGTAGAGCTTGTCTAAATACTACTACTTCCCGGTATTAGATTTTAGAAAGATGTCGATCCAAATGTTTTGGATCGAGATTGAGCTGAAACAAATCGTATGTTTTCCCGATATTGCTTTGATTTAATTTCTTGCACTTCTTCTTGGTGTGTGCATTTCATTTTCCCTGAAACAAGAATCCTGATTTCTTGGTCGAATGGCTGCTTGATGTTTGCTTTTTGTATTCGATTATAGGAAAATGAGACAAATGCACTTCTGGGATTTAGGGTGATGCACCTTGGGACCGTATCTTAGATCTATTCTTCCTTTCCATGGTGAAGTGCAGATAATCTTTGACTCTTAGAGTACGTAGTAAACTTCTTCTCCCTCTATTTCAAGAATACTTTAAAGGCCTGGAGCAGGGAACTGAAGGGTTGACTTTAATTTTGCTTCCATTACCTTTGTGATCCATCTTTATGTTCTCATTAGTTTCTTTGCTTCTTATCGTTCTGAATCTTTTCGCTTTCTTAATCTAATGTCACACTTAGCAGTGTGTGCATCCTCGTCATTTTGTACACTGTCTGATGATCATTGTTTCCTCTTTTCCGTTCGCCGTAGTGTCACGGACAAACTTCTAAACAAGACGTTGGATGTAATGCTTATGTGTGTCCGTGTCTTTTGGCATGTTCATGCCCTGTACAGAATGTAAAGGGGCGGCCGAAGGCTTATAAGTCCCATTTTAGTTGGGTTGGTGGCCTCTTTAGGCTTGTAAATAAAGGTTGTGTCATGTGGACACGTGAGAGAGCTTTC